AAACCTGGGCTTCCATACCACCTCAGCAGTGCCACAAACTGATCACCTCCATGCCACGCCGAATTGAGGCAGTAATTAAAGCAAAAGGAGCCCCTACCAAGTATTGAGTACATGTACAGTAAATGAACATACTTTCCAGAAGGCCAACAATTCACTAAAAATGTTTTTGTATTGGTCTTATGAAGTATTCTAATTTGTTGAGATAGTGAATTGGTGGGTTTTTGTTAAATGTGAGCCAAAATCATCACAATTAAAAGAACCAAAGACTTAAACTACTTCAGTCTGTGTGCATTGAATTTATTTAATACACGAGTTTCACAATTTGAGTTGAATTACTGAAATAAATTAACTTTTCCACGACATTCTAATTTATTGAGATGCACCTGTAGATCAGGTGGAATTTATGAGTTGAGAAACCCAGTCCTAAAGGTTCTTGCTCAGTTGTGCCTTCTTTTGATTATTTATTTAGATTTTTGTAAAGAAACCTAAGCACTGTTTGTGTTTTTTTTTTTCACATTACGTATGTAATAAGTTATGAAGTTACAAAATATTTAAGGAAATATCAGTGTATTAAGTGTCCAAGAATGCAATACTGTGATATCTGTAAGGAAGTTGGCTATTTGGTATATATTGTTTTTTTTTTTTGTCTACAAGTGCTTGTACATGTTGCTGTTATTATCACACAGCCTTAAATGTGTTATGTTTTGAATTAATAAAGTTAAACGATCCAAATACATTTGCTGCATTTATTTATATTGCACTAGCGGGCATGCGGCGCATAGGCAAACGAGCATCAAGTCTTTTACCAGGCATGTCTCCAGTTACGTATGCAAAACAGGACGTTTTTACATAATGCATCAGTGTATATAAACAAGTAGAAGTCCCAGAAGAGACAGAATATCATAACTTACTGCAATGCTTCACTACTAAGAGATTAACAGTAAAGTTAACAGTACACACAGTTTAGGTCATAGGTTTATCACGAAACATAAAAACAGTCATGGATCATCCAGGTACTGACACAAAGTTTTTATATTTGGTCTTTGTGGACTATATTTAAACATCTGTTACGTGAAATAGTGCAGTGCTAAGTAAAAAAAACAAAATAAACAAGTTTTTTAAACGACAGATTTTATTGAAGATATTTTAACATAACCTTAACATAAACTATAATGTTTTACATATTACACTCATACAGCAGCCTACAGACATAAACCACATTCATTCTAAGAAAGAAACGGAAACCCACAAACTTTTCTCTTTAAAATCCACTTCCTTCCTTCAAAACAGCCTCATATGATATATTTAGTATATACATACTATGGTTTTAACCTCAATAATCAAGATCTTTAAAGATCAATATAGTTCTTCATGTGTCACCATGGAGCCTTTCTCCATTAAAAGATTAAAGAAAATTACCTCTACAATAGACTGAACTGAAGAAATTAGTGTGTAGTTCTAAAAAATATTTCATAAGCTGATACATCTGCAAAAACAAAATTGCTGTAATATGAAACATCTCCAAAACCCGCACCTAACTTATACCCTCGGTTTCACAGACAAGGCTTAAGCCTAGTCCCAGACTAAAATTGCACTGATTGATCTTAAAATACGTCAGTGCCGTTGTTTTGTCTCAAGATGCACACCAGTAATGTTTTTTTTCTAAGGCATGTTTAAAAAAATTAAATGTCCTAATTGAACTATGGTCTAATCCTGGCTTAGTCTAAGCCCTGACTGAAACCAGGCCTTAGACTTATAAAGTTTGATTAAAAACATTACATGGTTAGAAATCAACCAAAACTACTATGAATAAACTGAGAAGTGAGCACATGGTTATGAACTGGAAGTTATGAACAGGGTTTTGTAGAGAAAATCAAACTACAGTTGTGAACGGCCGGGGTTGTGGTGTGACGCTTTTACTGAGGGAAGACGCTCCGCTGCTTTCGCTCTTTCCGCTAAAAACTGGTCGAACTCTGAGGGTGAGACAGAGATGAGACACTGAAATTAGTCTGCTGTTGTAAGAAATGCGGTTTGATGTAAACAATAAAATATTGCTGAATATTTGACATAAGGCAAGAAAATAGCATAAAGAAGAGATTCTTTTGAATGTGCTAGTGCCACTTCAGAGTTCCTCAATAGGCGGCCCGCAGAAATCAAAGTATTAAAGGGTTAGTTCACCCAAAAATGAAAATTTTGTAACCAGTGTCCATGATTGAATCAAATTTAAAACAACTTAGAACAATTAAATTTTTACGAGTATTCAACTTAATAATTGTTAGTTTTAACAATTTTCTAAGTATATATAGCACAATATAGTTTATTAGTTGAACTTAATTTCAGAAGAAGTTGCCTTAAAGGGGTCATATGATGCTGCTAAAAAGAATATTATTTTGTGTATTTGGTGTAATGAAATGTGTTTA